GTACGGTAGCCGTGTTACTGGACCACCAACACAGTGGCTCCCCCCCACCCACACACACCCACCCTGCTGTCCCCACCCTGCCCCCCGTGGACATGTCCCTGGGGTCCCCGGTGGTGGGCTCCCTTTGGAGTGACCACTTGGGCAGGACGCCTCTGTGGGCAGTGTCCGTCCTCTCACCGGGCAGCACAAGGCCTGAGGGTGGCTGGCAAACTGGGGTAGGAGAGGGTGACGCCAGGGCTGAGGGGCTGTCTCCCCAGCCTGCAGGGCTGCAGAGGGGGCTGCTAGGGGCTGCGGTGGGCCCACGCCCCACTCTGCAGACAGAATGATCAGAGGTCCTGGTCCTTGGGGAAACTGGACAATAGTGTGTTTGGAGATGGGGGTCTGTGTGAGTGTGTGTTGGGGTGTCTGGGGCACAGGCCTCCCTGAGACCACCCCGAGGAAATACTCTGCAGCCCTGAAGCTGAGCCTGTCTCTTGTGAGAGCCGGAAGCTGGGGGGAGGGGGGTGTGGAGACCCTCGGGGTGGGTGTGTGTTGGCCCTGCCCCACCCTCTGGCTCTGCCCCACCCCAGCTGCTGGGTCTCTTCGTGGCCGCCATGGCGGCTCTCACCTACTTTGGAGCCCATTTTGCTGTCATCGGCCGCGCATCCCCAGAGGGCACCCCCTACGAGGCCATGCACCGCTGGGGTAAGTGCAGCTCCAGGTAGCCACTGTCCGGGAGGGGACTTCAGGTGCCAAGGTGGCTGGGGAGGAGCCCTGGGCTGGGGTGAGGTCCCCCAGTGCAGCCGAACTGGGGCAGGCAGTGGGGTGTGGGGCAGAGAGGGCCGCCCTAGGTCCCAGTGCCAATGGACAGAGCCTGGGCTCCCTGGCAGCTTGTGCTCCTGCCTGGGTCTGCCGCCCCACCTTGGGAGCCTTGGGGACAGCATGGCTTGTGGGGGAGAGGGAGGCATCTGGACCCTGGCCTCTGTCCTGCAGGATGAGCTCCCGCAGAAAGGGGCCTGGCCCGGGGTGAGGCCTTGAGCAGCTCGCAGGTTCAGCACTGTCCCTCCAGGGGCTTGGATGTGGGGGAAACTGAGGCCCACGGGGTCCGGTGACAGTCCCAGCCCCAGACTGTGCTCCCTAGTCCCCACTTTTTAAACTTCCCTGAACCCCAGCCTCTCTTGAGCAGGAAGCCTGGGCCTGGACTGATAAGATTATTGGCCCCAGTGGCCCACGTGTCACTCGTGTCACTTGGGCAAGGGGGCTGGTGGCTTCAAAGATAGCCCCAGCGGGAGGGCCGGGCTGGGGGCAGGAAGCAGTGGGGAAACTGGGTCCTCTGAGTGCTGGGTGGGGACAGACCACATCCCAGCCTGATGGGGAGGCGTGGTCTATTCAGAGCTCCCAGAAGTCTAGGACACACCCCCACTTCATGCGGGTTTCAGAGCCAGGCTCTGTGCCCTGGGGACCCCTGTTCTGGACACCCCTTACCCTCCCCCTCTCTCTCCCCGCCTAGCCTTCTACACAGGGATCAGCCTGGCAGGGCTCCTGACCCTGGGGGCTGTGCTGAGCGCCACAGCCACAGTGAGAGAGGCCGGGGGCCTCATGGCCGGGGTGAGTCCGCCATGTCCTTGACCCCCCCAGCCCCCAGATGGCGTCAAGAGTAGGCGCAGCTATAAGCCCAGGGAGCCTGTCGCCACCTACAGTGTCCTGACAGAAACAGTGGCCAGAGGGGTGTGGGCCAGCCTGGACCCCTGACCCCCACCCATCCAGACCAGGCAGGACCCCTCCCCAGGCCAGCTGGGACCCCTCCACCTGGGCTCTACTTCACCCCATCATCCACGGGAGCCATGAAAGGCAGGGCCTGACCCCTCCGCCTGAGCCATTCCCAAAGGCTCTGTTACACTGGGGGCCCTGGGAGTAGGATTTGGGCAAATTTCGTTTCCCGTTATGAGGAGACCAGAGGAGGCGGGAACGGCCCCTCTGCAGGCCGATCACCTAGAGGTCTGGGTCATGTGCCACCCAGGTGGCCTGCAGCCCAGGCGCTCCCTGAGCTCCACACCTTCCTTTGCAGTTACTGGAGGGGTCCCCCTGGCGCCCAAGGTCCCACAGGCCCCTCACTCACCCCACAGCAGCGGCCTCTTGTCCCCACACCTGCTCCTCCATGTGGGCCCACCCAGGTCCCCGCCGGCCTCTCCTGCCAGCTGCAGCTCCTGGCGGGCGCCTGTGCTCTCACCTGCACCCCCAGCCCCCACCTGACACATGTCTTCGTCCCCACCCCTGTCTTCTGGAGTTTCCCGCAGTGCAGTGCGCGGTGCTGGGGCTTATGGAATCCAGCCGCCCTCCCTCCATGTCAGCCAGGAGGCCCCGCCTTCCTGCCTCCCGCCCTCAGCTCCGACAGACCCCACCCCTGCCCTGTGAGTGGCTTGAGACCCCAGAAGCTTGTGCTGGGGACTGTGCTTCCCCGGGGGGCCTGTGAGCCCCGAGGGCAGCCTTCTGGGTCCCCAGGGTGGGCAGGGTTCTCCGCCCAGCCTGTCAGCAAATGTTTGTTGAGTGACTCCTGGTTGTTAGCCTCTCCATGGGCAGGGACAGTCACCTCCTGGATCTGCGGCCCCAGGCTCAGGGAGCAGAGCAGGATCAGGCTTCTCGGCCCTCACCAGGACTCCACAGGCAGGACAGGGCAGGCGTGGCTGGCCGTTAGGACTCCGGCCTGTGCGGTCTGGCTGAGGCCAAGCGCCCACGGGGCCAGGTGGGGATGGAGGGAAGCCCCAGGGGGAGGTGACAGAGCACTGGACTGTCCCCCGAAAAGGGAGCACTAAGGCGTGTGGTCTGCCAAAGGGGCGCACTTGAGGACAGGCTGCAGGCACCACCAGGCTCAGGTCCCAGGGAGAGGCCGGCGACAGGGAGCAGCGTCGGACGCCAGGGGGCGCCGTGGTGCCGGCTTAAGGCTGCAAATGCGGGCGGAGGCCTCGGCCTGAGGCGCCCGTCCCAGTCTCTGGCCTGGCTGTCTCCAGCCCTCGCCGTCTCCCGCTTCTCGCCCCCGGGCCCCGCCCAGTCCTGGCCCTGACCTGGGGCGGGGGCTCAGGGAGCACCTGGGAGACCAGGAGGGCTGGTATGGGGGTCAGGCTGGGAGAACCGCCTGCTGCATCCTAGTTTCTGCCCTCGGCCCCCTAGTCGGTGCTGGGGCGCCTGGCTCTCAGCTACCTGCTCGCGGAGCCGCGTGCATGCGTGTGCGTGTTGTAGCTGGCATGTCCGCATGCGCGTCTGCGTGTATGAGCACACATGAAGGGCTAGGGAGCGGGGGAGATCTTTCCCAGCGTGATGGGGCCCGGCTGCTCCCCCTTCCTGCCCTCACCTCCTCCAGCCTCTCCCCAAACTGGCCTCTAGCACAGGAAATGAACGCGCTTGCTGGACTGTGAGTGCAGAGCTGGCAACCGTGGCCGAAGGAAGCCATTTAAATTTATTTATGCATTTATATTTAGAACGAGGAGAAAGAAAATGGCCAAGGTTGGGCCTGGTCACACCCAGCAGCCTGAGCACTGCAGAGGTCTTGGGGCTCGCGGCCCATCCCCTGCCCAGGACCCCTCTGCAGGGCGCTGGGAGAGCTAGCGGGTGGGAGATGGGCTGGTGCTCCCTTCTGGGAGATGAAATGGTTGCTGGAAAGCGCTGGCTCAGGGCCCCCAGCTTGGGAGGCAGCCGTGAGCGATGGCTTCCAGATGGGGAACGTGGCCCTCAGCCAGTCAGGGAGGAAGAGGAGGGAGAAGAGGAGGCACCTTCAAGGCCATCCTGAAACCGAGGGCTGCAGACTCCCTTGCAGGAAGGAGGGACGTGAGAAGAAGGCGGAAGGGCTGCCCGCATCAGAGCAGAGCGGGGACCCCTGCACCAGCCCTGGAGTTTGGGGACTGGTGGGGTGGCCTTGTCTTTCCCAGAGCCCCTCCCCCCAGCATGGACGATTCCTTCCTCCTGCGCAGTCTAGCCAGTGTCTGCGTGTCTTGTCAGTGTCTGCAGGCATCTCTTTATCCCGTGGTCGTCACCTCTCCTGAGTGTCACCCTGAGTGAGGCCCAGGTGGGACAGCCCAGCCACAGGGTGCCCCAGGGTGCCCCAGGGTGCGTGCGGACAGTCCCGGGAAGGACAATGACGTGTTGGCCCAGCCAGCCACACTCATGCGGGGCAGCGGTGTGCTGAGCAGGCCAGCGGGTGGGAGAGGTGGTGCAGACGGTGCATCAGGCCTTTGGACACCCGGGTTGTGTGGCTCTTGGCCGGATTGACAGGGCAGCACACAGGCGGATTCTGAGTCTGCAGAGACCTCTGAAATGCCCACAGAGAGCCTCAGGGCAGGTGTGCATTTGGTCCGCTGTGAGCAGGACATGACAGTTCAGAACCCCTGACCAAGAGAAAGCAGGGCACAGTGGGGGTGCTGGGGTGGGAGGATATTCCCCAGGGAGCGTCCATCTCTTCTGATCCTGGGGTCCAGGCGGTGGTATGAGAGGGGACCGGGGTTGCTGGGCCGCAGGGGGCTGAGGGCTGCAGGCCTGGGGGATTCCAGCTGTGGCAGTTGGGGTTTGACCTGAAGGTATGTCTCAAAAACAAAACCAAGCCAGCTGTCCCTCCTGGGAGCGTGCATGAAACCTGCCCCGTATGAGGGCAGCTGGGGGGCCCTGAACACTTCCTCTGCCTGGACCACCTAAAGGGGAAGTTCTTTTCCCAGATCCCAGTCTCAGGCCCAGGGAGGGCTCTGCCTGGCCCCTCCTGGGCTAGTGCCCCTCCCAAAAGCAGCCACTGTGGGCAGGGGTCTCTATCATGCCAGGGACAGTCTCCCTCCCTGGGGCGGGGTGGAGGGTGGCACTGCCACTGACAGGCCCTCAGTAGCCAAAATCAGCAATGGCAGAAGAATTCTCGAAAAAGGCCAGAAGAAAAGATAGGAACCAGTGTGCCCGCTGCCCAAGGTCTCCACCTCAGGCAGTGAGGAGCTGGGCTCAGGTGGACAGTGGCCTACGTGGGCACCGCCCTGCCCAGCCTGGAGGGAGCCCACCAGGCCACGCACGTCCCGTGGAGTGACCGGGCCCTCCTCTGCCCAGGGCTTCCTGTGCTTTGCGCTGGTGTTCTGCATCCTGGGGCAGGTGGCCTTATGGAGGTTCCACAACCCCGCCCAGGTGAGTGCCCGCCCTGCCCACCACCCAGCGGAGGGTCCCAGGAGGGTGATGAGAAAGTCGGTTCCATGCTCCCACCCACTCGCCAGTCAGCAGAGGAGAGGTGGGGAGGGTGTGTGGAGTGGGGAGGGGACCTCTGCGGGTGGGGTGGGGGCGCAGGGACCAGAGGGCTGGTCCTCTCCTGGGGAGGGAGGTGGGACAGGGACAGGCCTCAGACCCTCCCCTCCAACTAAGACCCCAGCCCTGCCCCTCCTGGGCTGGGGTGATGGCTCCTGGGAGTTGGGGGAGGGGTTCCAGGAGCAGGGTGAGGGCGGGCTTTGTTTCTGGGAAAAACCCCATGCAAATAGCAGGTCATGCACCATGATTTCCCCCCATGTATCAGGAGTCCCAGAGGCTCTCCCCCACCCCCATATTAGGGTATCTGTCTGCTGGCACCCCCCAAGATGGAGAGGCTCGCAGAGAGCAGCTGGGGCAGGAAACCTGACTGGTTCTGGGGCTGAGTTCGTGCTGTGTGCTGTTAGGTGTGTGATCACCCTCTCTGGTCCTTGCTCGCCTCACCTCAGAAATGGGCCTAGTTTCTCCCTCAAGTGCTTCTTGGAGTTGATGAGGCTGAGTTGCCAGGCCTTTGAGTGTGGCGGTCATCCCCTTGGTCTACCGATGGGGGGGGACTCAAGCTGAGGATGGGGCACTAGGTCCCCCTAACAGAGCCGGGGCAGGAGGGGCCCAGCCCACCAGCCAAGGCTCTTGGCTCCAAGTCGATGCCTCTTTTCCTTTCCCTGCGCAAGGGTCACCCCAAACTGCCCGCCACCCAGCATCATTCAGGGTCACCCACCTGTGACCAGGTTGGAAAAAAGACATTTCCTCTGGGTCTCGGAGGGGCTCAAAGCCCCCAAAAGGCAGCCTCAGCTCTCGGTGGGGATGGCCAGCAGCCATGCCTGGGCCAGTGTTTCAGCCTCACGTCCCAGCCCCCTCCCCCCAGCAGCGGTCTGGGTCACAGCATGGGTGGTCCTAGTCAAGACAGCAGCCAGGGTGCCCTGGGGCCCCATGCAGCTCTCCTGGGACGGCCTGCCGCAGCCCATCCATCCTTTCCTCTCTGACACTGTGTGTTTACAGCTCCGAGCCCAGGGTTTGAGGTGCTGCAGGGGACAGGCCGCAGCCCACAGTCCAGCTGGGGCCCCTGCTCTGGGAGGGGAAGAGGCGAAAGCTGATGGCTCCCAGCTGGGCCCCTCCTCTGTCCCAACCCCTGCCACCACCACCCACAAAAATCCTCCTGGCCTGGTCCGTGCTCTCAGGGGTCACTTCTTGGGGCTCTGCCTGACCCCAGGCCCTGGTCTGGTGCGGCCATGTTCGTGTCCAGGCCCACGTGGGCACGAGGTGGACTGAGTGAGGGAACCCTGGCTTCGAAGGCTGGGGTCAGCCTCCCCACCCAGAGCTCCTACTGCTCAGTCCCCCTTCCTGGGCCTGTTTCCTCATCTGTGAGAGCGTGGAGCCCCTGACAAGGGGGCTGCTGCAAGAGGGCCCAGGCCAGCCCCCCGTCTCGCGGGACTGTGGAGCTGCTCCGGGCTTGCACAAGACGGTGTCCGGTGCCGGGGCCTGGGCACTGAGCAGCAGGGGTAGCCGAGCCTTCGGTCCTGTGCCCGCAGTTCCAGGGACGGGCCAGGCACCTTGGACTCAGGGCCAAGCCGGCCTAACAGATCCCAGCCTGCTCCTTGTTCCACAAAAGTGGGGGCCTAGTGAGCAGAGAAGCTGTCTGCTCCAGGGGGTCTGGAGCCCAGCCGTCACCCCATTCCCCCATGCCTCCCCTGAGGGAACCCCCTAAGGTATCCCAAAACACAGGGTCAGGACATTTCGTCCAGGGCCACCTAACAGATGGGAAACCTGAGGACAGGAGGCCAGGGACCGGCCACGTCTGCCTGTGGCCCAGAAGCCGGGCTGCAGGCCCTGGCGGGGCTGACGGGGGCGAGGGGGTGCCGCCCTGCCGCTCCCACCGCTCCCGGGGTTGTCCAGCTGCCTCTGCTCTGGGACACTCGCTCCTTCAGTCCCTGGCAGGCGCCCCGAAGCTGGCAAGGTCCAGCGATGTGGGGACCCAGTGGCCGTGCGGTGAATGCAGAGCAAGAGGGCTATTAATTACGCGCCCACCACAGCCTGAGAGCCACTGCCACAGCTCCCCTGTCTCCAGACCGGCCAGTGGGAAATGAATTGCCTGGCTCCACTTAATAATTCATGGGAGGATAAGAACAGCACTGGGAGGAGAAACGCTAAAGGGCCGCTGTCCTCGCGGCTCCCAGCAGTTGGGGCCCCCCCACCCCACCTTAAGGCCACTCCCCTCCCCAATTGTCCCGCCAGACCACCATCAGAGCTGGCCCTCGTGTCCATGGGGCTGGTCTGCAGACCACTGCCGTCCCCGCAGGCCACCCCTGGAGCCACCCAGACAGGTTTAGCTGACAGTGGGGGTGGGGATGCCGCCCAGAGATTCGCCAAGCCCAGGCTGAGGGCCAGAAACGGGGCGTGGACTCCCCGGGCACCTGGTTTCTACAAGTGTCTGTACGAGAACCTCCATCCTGAGGGGCCACTTTCTGGAGCTCTGGATGACCAGGCTTAAGGAGCAGGATGCACCCCCAGTTTTCTCACGGAGAGACACTGGCCTCTGATGCCTCCAGTGCCCCTGGAACCCGGTGTTGGGGGCCAGATAGTGGGGCACCACCTAGACACCGGGGCTGCAGGGGGAGTGCAACCTGGCCCCCACTGCCAGGCCCAGGGCCCTTGGGAGGGGGTGTGGCTTGGCGGGATCTGCTTCTGAGGTCATGGGGACAGATACTCAGCTCAGCCACAGCGAGCGAGTGTCATCCCTACTGCCAACCTTACAATGACAGCTTGCCCGGGAGGCACCAGGGCCCTAGTGCGGGGGAGCAGAGGAGTTGGGGGTGGCGGCATGGAATCAGGAGGGGTCATGGCCACCTGCCCTCCTGACCCCAGGCTGGCTCTACCAGGCCTCCAGCGTCACCAGGACCTCCTCAAACAAGAACACAGTGGCCTAGCTGTTCTTCACCCCCATTTCACTTGAGGAAACAGGCAGAGACAGGGCCCTGGTCAGGCCCACCCCCACCCCCAGCCCAGGGTGCCGCCACCTCTCAACAGGTGGGAAAGACCCTGGCTGGCCAAGTGTGGGGTGACTTGCAGAGCACGTCTCAACAGGGAGGGACAGTTAATGCCGGGAGCAGTGTCTGGGACGGAAGTCCCCCCGGTTCCTACCGGTGTCCGGGGGCTTTGGAAAAGGCTGGTCAAAACCCCCCACCGCCCACCTGCTGCCTGCTCCCAGGTCCTCCAGGCTGTGGGCCGGCAGCTCCCCCTTCTTTCCGAAGGGCGGCTGTCAGTGTCCAGAGCAGGGATGGGTCCTCCGTTCAGCCTCAGCCCTTTGGGACACCCCTGAGCACCCGTCAGCATGTCCCACGGGAGGGACGGAGCCTCTGAGGTGGGAAAGGGGGCGTCAGGGGCCAGGAAGCTCGGAGGCCTCGCCCGTGTCAGGAGGCCGGCGCCCTGGGGCAGCCGCAGAAGGCTCCCTAGAGGAGGCGAGGTTCCAGTTTGTCTTTGAAGGAACAGTCTGGCAAGCGGTGGCCATTTTCATTTGGGGGTGGCTTGAGCAAAGGCACGGAGGGGGTGCTTAGATGGGCAAGGAGATGTGACTGGGGTGCGGACCGCAGGCAGAGCCCAGCCAGGCCCCAGTAGCTCAATACGCTCCTCCGCCGTCTGCCCGGAGCTGGCCCTGGGTGCCCATGGCTTCACTGGCCAAAGGCTTTGCCTAGAGCTCAGCTGGGCAAACACCTAGAGGGCCCTGGGTTGCTGAGCTCCTAGCAGGAGCCCTCTCCCAGCCTTCTCCGCCCAGGCCTGGCTGTCGGCTTTCCTGCCCCACTGCCCACCTGTTTCCAGAGAAGAGAATCGGGTGGACACTGCCTTCGACCAGTCCTCCGCAGGACCGGAGCTGGGGTCCCTGGCTTATCCCCTGGGACCCCCTGAGGAGCAGGAGTGGCATTAAGAGCCATTCTCACGGGGGGGTGGGGGTTCCCCACAATTGAAGTCTGAGGAACCACTGTGGCTGGCCACTCAGGGGACCTGGGCTCTGCCCTCAGGGAGCTCCTGTTGGGAGGAGGAGGGGGCCATCAGACACCCCTCGGCAGCACGGGCCAGGCCTACCTTGGGGTAGGGGGTGCTTCACGGAGATGCTCTCGGTGTAGGTGGAGGACGCCGTGCTGGACACCTATGACCTGGTGTACGAGCAGGCGGTGAAGAACCCCTCCAGCCCCCGGCGGCAGGAGCTGCTGGCCATCCAGGACACGGTGAGCGTGCTGGGGGCGGCCTCCCCCTGTGGCCTGTGATCCAGAAAAGTGGGCACAGGGCGCCCCCACAGTCAGCCGGCCCGCACCAGGCACTGAGCAGGGGTGCCCAGGACAGGCCGCCGATGCCCCTGGCGGGCGGGGCGGGTGGGACACACCAACAGCTCCTGTCCTTCTCCCTCTGCCCTGGACAGGGCTGGCTACCGAGTTTGTAGAGTCCAGAGCAAGACAGAACGCTCGTTGTCCAAAAACGATTAAGAATTGCAGGACGCTCTCAGCACAGCATTAAGCAGGGCCCCGGTGATGGCAGGGTCACAGCCCATGAGGCCGGCCCTGGCCCTGGCCGGCGTGCCATCCGCCAGGGGGCGGACAGGCAGGCAGGCTCAGTGCCACAGTCTCCCCCTCTGTCCGACGGATCCTGGGTTTCTGACGGCAGCCTGCCCCCCCTCCCCGCCCATTCTTACAGTTCCTGTGCTGTGGGAAGAGAGCCCCTTCCAGCCTCCTGGGCAGCTCAGAGGCTGACCTGTGCACGGGAGAGGAGGCCACGAGACAGGTGAGGTGGTGGGGCCTGGACACGGGGGCTCCAGGGAGGCTGCCTGTGAGGGGCCTGCAGGGAGCAGTGGCCGGGCTGGGTGAGGCCGACCTGATCCGACACAGGCCAGGTCCCTCTCCAGGCTGGACGCAGGCCCCATACTCTAGTCACTCCTTCACTTCCGGCCTGAAGGCTCCCGCAGCCAGGCTCAGGGCCAGACACCGAGACCCCGCCCGCGGGAGCCTCTGGAAGCACAGGGGGTGGGTGAGACACAAACAAACAGGGGTGATCAGTGGCCAGGGCCCATGGAGCAGGGGTCAGCTCTGCGGGTTAAGGCGGGGAGGTGGAGGGAGGTGGAGGTGGGGGAGGCAGGCGTCCCAAGGGCACCCAAGGAGCAGGAAGGGCTGTCCTCAGAGGGAGGTGGGGCCTGGAGGGCCAGCCTGGCCACCAGGAGCTCCAGTGACAGTGAGACCAGAGGCAGGAAGCCCCCTCTGCCCTAAGGCCCCACAGAGGGACTTGGCACCCCCTCCCCTGCTCCTCCCCCACCGACTGGCCTTCCAGCTCCCTGCCCCCGCTGTCCAGGAAACAAACCCACCCCTATCTCTTGGGCTTCTGGCTGCCCTCCAAGAAACAAACAGGAGGATGCAAATGGCGCAGGGCCCAGGGAGGGATGCAGGCAACAGAGCACCATTGGCCCCGGGGGAGGCACGTTGGGGAGGCGAGGGCAAGGGAGGCCCAGTGTGCTGGGACGGGGGCTGCATGCTGCGAGGTGGCTTCATGCCACCCAGGGACAGGCCTCAGGTCCCCATCTGCAGAGCGGGGCCGAGGGCTTGCTTCCTCTGTGCACCGTCCGGTGCCTCCTAGGTATAGACANCTCTGAGCAACAGGGCCGCCGGTTCGATTCCCACATGAGCCAGTGAGCTGCACCTGAGCTGAGCTGCCATTGAGCTGCCAACGGGTGACAGGATGGCTCAGCTGGTGAGAGCACGTGCTCCTAACAACAAGGGTGCCGGTTGGACTCCCACATAGAATGGTGGGCTGCGCCTCGCCCCCACAACTAGATTGAAAGCAGCGACTGGACTTGGAGCTGAGCTGCGCCCTCCACAACTAAGATTGAAGGACAACAACTTGAGTTGGAGCTGATGGGTCCTGGAAAAATACAATGTTCCCCTTCCCCAATTTCCTAATAAAAATAAAATCTTTAAAAAAAAAAAAAGGCAGGAAGGTGAGATTATAAGGAGAAATCAGACCTGGGATTGCCTGGGGTCATATTCAGGGCACATAATCCAGATAAAGACTGACAAAGGAGCCACAGCCCGTAGCTCAGCCTCCTGCTGGGGACCCAAAGCCTTTCACACGCAGGAGAGTGGGTACATGGTCAGGGAACTCCCTGACAGAAGGGCTGAAGCGAAGAGCTGCGTGCACGGTGGCAACAAAACCCGTCCGGACTCTGGCTACAAGCAGACTGGGGCAATACCGACACGTGAGAGGTGACACGATTAGGAAAGCCAGGCTTTCATAGGCTTTTACTTGATTATATGATGGGGCTAGACGCTGTGTCTTAGGGGCTGGCAGAAGTTGCCCCCACCCCCCAAAAAACATGCCTTTATGGGACATTGATTATTTTAATCTGTTTATGTTTAAGAAATAAAAGATTCAGGGAAAAAACAACAGCAACAACAAAAAGACCTTTGATCCTCCCCTCAACTGCCTAAAGGAATTAGATAAAGGACCTGCTCCATAACTATAGTTTCACAAGGACTGTGATAACTAGTGTGTGATAAGCGGGGAGGAGCCCAGCCAGCGGATTTGATCAAAGTTCTCTCTGTCCTATTGTTAGACTTGGCCTAGCGCACATTCCTTTACCAAACATTTACTCCTTTTGTCTCTCTGTGAAGTGCCTTCTTGCCCTTTGAAGTTCAAGCCCAAACCCACCCTCCACCCCCACCCTTCTCTGCTCAAGATTGCAAGTAAGGCTTAGCTGTCTGGTAGGTTCCTTTTTTTTTATTTTNGCCAGCCCCAAAAGGCAAACTTTTGAGAAGGGCTCATTGGCTCTGAGCACAGGAGGTGTTGCCCCCTTCCGGCTCCTGTGCACTCTGATTTGGGGGAAATGGCCCTGTTGACTGGCCACTGGTGCTATAGACTGCAGGACACCCCTACAGCCTCGCAGCGTGGCCCCCAGCTGGGCCCTAAACCATGGCCAGGAAGGCCAGCCCACCATCCCACAGGGCCACCTTCCTTTGGGGGGAGGTAAACGGGAATCCTCCCACACACCACAGGCATCTTCCCATCGTCTTGTCCCTTTGGCTGTCAAGTCAGTGCCTTGGCCGGAAACAGTGGGGAGTAAACAAGGCTGTGTCTAGGGAAAGCGCTGCTGTGACAGAAGTATTACAGGCGGGGAGCAAACCCAAATCCAGAACAAGGGCCGGGGCCTCTCCAGGGAGGAAGTGGGCTCTGCAATCGTGTTGTGTCAGCATGACTGGTCATGGGGTCCCCAGACGGAACATTATTTCTGGGGGTGTCTCCAGGTGAGATTAGCATTTGAATGGGTAGACTCAGGCTGGCAGGTGGCCTTCCTAATGGGGGTGCTTATCCAGCCCACTGAGGCTAAATAGAAGCAAAGGTGTAGGAAGCGGGGATTCTCCCCTTTTTTTCTGCCTCACCCGTGAGCTGGGACCCCTTCTCTCATCTTCTCCAGCCTTCGGTCTGGGATTTACACCATCGGCTCCCTGCTCTCGGCCTCCAGATTGGAACTGAACTACACTCCCCGCTGACCTGGGTCTGCTTACAGATGGCAGATTCTGGACCTGCCAGGCTCCGTGATCACAGCAGGCATTTCCTATAGTAATTCTCCTTGGACAGATGGATGGATGGATGGATGGATCGATAGATGACAGATAGATAGATGACAGATAGATAGATAGATTAGATAGATAGATAGGTGACAGATAGATAGGAGATAGATAGATAGATAGGAGATGATAGATAGATCGATCGATAGATAGATAGATAGATACATAGATAGATGCCTACATGGCGCATGGGTGTCGCCCTTCCTACCCCATGTCTGCTTTGCACAGGAGGCCACTGGGCAGCACTGGGGTTGTTGGGGAAGAGGCGGCCTGTCTGCCATGGGGCTCCAAGAACTTTACCAGAGTCCAGGAACCCAACATCACTGGGCAGCAGAGAGCTGCTGGGCCAACCCCGCCATGTGACCCAGCAGGCAAACAACTTGAACTTCAGGATGGGCAGCTCCAGTCACCCTGCAGACATGGGTCAGTTCCTACCTGGTCCCAGGGGAAGGCAAACGGAGAATCTCACAGGAGAGGGCCTTGCCTCGCCAAACGGGGTGGTTGTGCCCCACATTTGGGAGCGGCGCTGAGCTTCTGCATCAGGGCTTCCCACGGGCTCCATCAGCACGCGCTAGGACCTTGTGGTCCCCCAGTCACAACGACCGAGCCTGCAGCAAAGCCGGGCCCACGTGGGCACCTTCCCTGCCCTGCATCCTGCAAAGCCTGCAGTCCGATGTGCAGCCTGGGCACAGGAAGCAGCAGAAAAGCAGACACCCAAATGTGGCCTCCTCCAAAGCATGTGGTGCCCCAGTGACCAAGATACCCTCGTCCTTCACCATGCAGGGGACACACCCGTGTCCATTGTACCCAACAGGACTGTCACAGGGTTGACCTCTCGCTGTCTGCCATGCATGGTTTTTACCAAGGCAACCCGCCATGTCCTGGTCTCCAGCTTCACCAGAACAACGTCCTGGTGGGTGGAAACATGGTCAGGTCTCCAAGGACTCAGTTATGGCTGAGAGTCAGCATGTTCGTGTAGCCCCGAGGCGAGGCCCTGCCACTGTCCCTCCCAGGTGAAAGCCGCTTCTGTGGTTTTCTGCATGTGGGGCTAGACCTATAAGAAGCAAAAACAGACACAGGTGCTCACCCGTGGAGGCGCTGCCCTCAGTGCCAGCACCTGGTGTTTTTGCCCCAATTAAAGACATCTGTACCCACGGCTGCAATCGTATCGCCACCTGATTTCAAGACCCGCCCCTCCAGTGGGGCGCAGCTCACAGGCTGAGAAAGCTGGTTTGGGGCACGCCTAGATGGGGGGGGGGGGGGCTCACTGGACCCCCGCAGGGTCTGTGTTTGCCCTCACTGGCCACGGCCAAGTCGTCTTCTAAGAGCTGCCCCACAGACTTAAAGCTCCTGTTAAGCTGGTGGGTGTCAAAGGCACCAGGTTATGGTTTTCATTTTCATTTCTCTCATATTAACCAGGTTGGCACATTAACCTGGTTGTTTCTGTTGCTGGTGTGTGAAACGCCTGTTCGTGCCTTTTGCCCGTTTTCCTACTGGGTTCTGTGTCTTGCTGATTTACGGGGAGTGTTTACGGATAGCTGAGTAGAAATAATTTGTGGCTTATACATGCGGTAAATACTCTCTCCTAATTTCCTAATTTGTGGCCCGACTTTCCCTTTCTTGATAGTGACTTCTGGTGAACAAATGTTCATTGGTTGGTTTTTACCTTTTAATGAACATTTGCAGGCAGAAAAGAAGTAGAAAAACTCAAACAACGAACACGCACAGATGCGCTGTGATGGCCTCGCTGCCCAGCTGCTCAGTTGAACACCAGTCTGCATGTTTCTGTGAGGTGTTCCGTAGACGCAATTGACATTTGAAATCAGTGATTCTGAGTAAAGCAGCTCACCCTCCATAACGCAGGTGGGCCTCGTCCAATCGGTAGATGGCCTTAAGAGCAGCGATGAGATTTCCCTAAAAAGAAATTCAACCTCAAGACCACAACATAGAAACCCTACCTGAGCNGGAGGGGGACACAGGCACTGGGCCATCTGCAGAACCGCCCTAGGGGAGGTTTGGGGGCAGGGATGGTGTCCCCAATAGTGGTCTGCCCTGGGCTGCATTCCAAGAGGAAGTGGGACCACACTGAGGGTCTGTTTCCCCGCGGGGTACCCAGGCCAGACTACAGGGTGGTGCCCAGGGCTCCTGGGGGCGTTTCCTAGCTGGACAAACCTGAGTGCCAGCTGCCCCTGGGAGCCAAGTGTGAACAGGGCTAGACTGCCGCGGGCTAGTGGTCCAAGCACAGCAGGGTGGCCTGAGGGTCCAGACCCTATCAAGTGAACTCGTGGACAAATGGACAGACAGACTCCAAGCCAGCCTCCCCTTCCTCCCCTTCCTGGCCTCAGAGCTAAACCCTACAAGTCCCGCACCTCCCCCAATCTGCCCCAAAGTGCCAGAACCTTCCCCAAAACTAGCTGCCCCCTCTGAGTGGTTCAGAGATGGGTCATCACCCCCTTTTCCTGGAGAAAGAGCCTCTGTGGGTGCCAAGCCCTAGGGAAGGGTGCGAGGGAGGGAGCCAGGACCCTGGGACAGCCTGGGCCCCCCACGCCCGTCCACTGGCTGTTGGTCTGTCCTTCCTGTTAGCCAGCACGCTCTCCTCACACAGGCGCTGTGCCTGGCCCTGGGCGGGGTGCTGGGGAGCCAGACACAAGTCCAGCACAGGCAGCTCAGGGGTGCCCGGAGGAAGGTACATGCTGGTCCCCTAGGTCAGCGTCTCCTCGGTCCCACGGCGGCTGGCTCCATCCTGCTAGTTTGCCCTGCCTTTCCCTGAGCTCTGGTTGGTCATTCTGGGGCGGGCTGCACCCCAACTTCCCACCACCCTGGCATTTGGCCTCGGTGGACACTGCAGGTCCAAGTCTGGAGAGGGTGGGTGACATCGTGCCACCCTCTGCCCAGGACTGTCTGCAGGGCATCAGGAGCTTCCTGAGGACACATGGAGGCATCACCTCCGCCCTGACCGGCGTGGGCCTCGTCTCTATGGTACCCTCTGCCCCCCTTCACGGCCCCTCCCCCACCTCCCTGTCCCTCCACTCACCCGTCCCCCACCCCAGCTGGAAGGGCGGCTGGCCCCAGGGAAGCGGCCTGGGGGCGGCCTGGGGGTGGCTGTGCCTGCTTCACTCACTTCCTGAGGAGCCGTGAGCCCCTCCCCGTGGAGCTGCTGGTGCAGGTGCTACTGCCGCCCTCCCAGGGGTACGCCATGCTGCTCAGCTCCTTCCTCTGGTTCGCCATCCGCTCCGGCCGCAGCTTGTCCCGCAAAGGAACATACACCCTAAGCCCACGGTAGGCCCCCGCCCGCCCCCCACGAGGGTGGGACCCCTGGACAATGGCCCAGGCTGACACTTCCAAAGAGGCGCTTTGGGGGTGGCTGGCCACACTGAGGGAGGGGCAGCTGCAAAGTCGCCAGACCCTCATGCCCTCTGCTGTACGGCCGGCGCGGGAGCCCCTCTGCTCACCCCCAGCCCACACCGAGACCTGACCCCACAAGTGCCATCTCCACCAACACTGAGAGATGGATGCTTCTGGGGCCCCCAAACTACAGCCCCAGGTCAGGACCTCTGATCTTGGGGGACACCAGGGCTCCCGATGCACAGGGAGCACGGAGGACTCACACCCAGCAGCCCCTCCTGACCCCCCCAAAACCCCTCCCCCCAGTGCTCACAGCTGTCCCCACCTGCTGTTTCCTCCACTCGCCCCCCATGGTCGCCCCACCTGGTGTCCTCCTGGCCCCCTGGGTTCCCTCCCTGTCCAGGCACCCTGCCTGGCCCCTCCACATTCTAGAACAGCCCAGTCCCTCTGCTTCTCAGAGCCCGCGGCTGCCAGCCCCAGGAGCCTCGCTTCTTCAGACGCTCCCAGGAGGGACTCGCACTTCACCACCTATCTGAAGCAGGTGCTCTGCGTGACCATCTGGGCCCGAGCAGATGCTCGAGTGGCCCTCGGCTGCTCCAGGACAACTGACCCTCTGTTTCAACTGCCTGTCCTACCCCCCGTCCACCCACAGAGGCGAAGGCACCCTGGCCTTGGCCCCCATGTGATCCTTACAAGGCAGATGTGAGCTGTGCCCTCCCCACTGCAGTGGGTGGAAGGGAAGAGACAAGCAGGCTCCGTGTCAGCAGATGGGGTCAGGGGTCATTCACACGCATGGAGAAACAGGCTGGGAGTGAGTCGAACAGGGGAGCCAGAGGGCAGGCCCCACAGAGCTGTGCTGAGAGGCACCAGGTCAGACCGGGGCAAACCCGACCCACCTCCAGGCTCGGCCGGGCCTCAGGACGGAGGGTCCCTCTCCTTGCCACTGTCGGCAGGGCCCGTTCTCTGCTCCTGAGACCACCCCTTTCTCTCTCACATGGCCCCATCTGCGAGGCTGCAATGGTGTGTCGAGTGCTTCTCATGCTGAGAATTTCTCTGATTTTCCCCTCTCACTCGGAAAGCAGAGGCTGGAGAACACACTCTGCCTTCAGAGGCACGTGCAGCAACATGAGCCCACCCAGGTGACGTCCCTATCTAAGGGGAAATTGTCTCACATCTCCAGTGACACCGTGCACACAGGTTCCAAGGATTAAGGCAAACACGGGGTGGGGGGGGCATTTTAGAAACCCTGCCTGCCACAGCCACTCCCAATGGACGCGCCCAGGCCACCTCGGACGAATTCTAACTGTCCCCAAGGGTTTGCATCTTTTGCTCAAAGTCCACAGTCCTGAGTCAAACACCACTTTTGGCCCTGCTGAGGACAAGGCCTAACAAGCTGACGGAGGAGAAAGGGATAGCGGGGCCCTTGTAACTCCATAGAGGGGTCCTACACTCACTGCAGTCCACCCTCGTATTTCCAGTCACACACACGCTTCTCCCCACACTTGCACTTCCAAAACCAAGACTGTCCCCACCTAACACAGAGCAAAGGGCACCCCTCCAGCTGAAGTCCTTGTCCCCAAAGGAGGACACCCCAGCGTCTCGTGGGCCCTGCATTCGGCGACAGTCCAGCTGCACCCCTCCTCTGCTTCTGTTCTTATCGTCTCATCATCCTACAACTTATGAAATAAATTTTAAAGAAAGCACCAGCAATACGTCCTAGGCACAACATTGGTGGAAAGAGAGGAAAGAAAAATAAATTTAGTTAAATTCTGTGAAAATGTATATGACCAGCAAAAAGAAAGAAAGCAATATTGCTGGAAGCTGTAGGCGGCTTCTCTGCCGCTGGCCCCGGGCCCGTGACCAGCACTCACGGCTTGCCTCCCCCGCCCCATTCCATGTTCTCCCAGCTGGTCCGGGTTCTTCTCCCGGGGGGGGGTTGTGTGACCCCCCTCTTCATTTCAGAGGGAGCTGAGGAATGAAGACCTTCATTGGTTTGAGCCTGGCATTCCCCCAACCTTCATGACCAGACGTGGCAGGATGGGGAAAGACCTAGGGGACCCCTAATCCCACTCACATGTAGCAACACCCCCCTTCTTGATGGCATCACCCCAGCCATCACCATGGCCCCTTTATGGCCTCTTAACCCAGTGGCACAGGAGCCCCAGATGGACCAGATGGCACCCACAGCTTCCAACTCAAGGACACCATTATTTTGTTCTCTGGTCAAAGCATTCCTTTTTTGGTCACCAAAACCTCCACACCAGGAGAGGAAGGACCAACAGGGCCAAAGGCAAACTTTTTTTTTTTTTAGATTTTATTTTTTTTTTAAATTGGGAAATTGGGAGAAGG